GATGGTATATTGTTGGTTGTTATATTGGCTTAAGAGTGGGACGTCGATATTGGTTATCGTTACTTAAAAAGGTAAGTCAGTCGCCAATATTGGTGATGCCTGGGAGTTGTCAGACTAGTAACGAGTTAAGTCGCCGATATCAGTGACGAAAGAAAATGGTAATGGTGTGTGTGGGTGGCCAGTTGGGGGTCAAATGGTGAGGAAAATGGGTCGCCGATATTGATGACGGAGAAACTTTAGAAATTGAATGACTTGATTTAAACATTTTCTATGTGTATGACTGAATTTATTTATATGATGATATATGTTATGCCACATATGCTAACAGGGTTGATGTAACGCTGCTGATGTTAAAAAAAAAATCGGGGCGTTATAGTTGGTATCAAAGCAAATAAGGAGAAATACTAATGTGTGTCGCTATCCTGTAGGTAAACCAAGGGAAATGACGAAGAAGAGCCGAGGCTGACCCTGCGGGAATCCGCCTCGGATGTGCAAGACCCACCGAAAGCCCTATAACGGACACCTGCATTCCACCAAGTGCCCTTCTGCATTTCAAGGGTCGCCCCTATACCAAGCAGCGCCTTCCCCTTCACAACCAAAATCCTCTATCGTTCCGCCGACACCACATGTGGGACAAGCAGGGGCATATTAGGAGGACTTTAACCGGCTATGTAGAGTGGTTGAGAGCCTAGCAACGATGATTCGAGAGAGAGAACTATGGTTTAAGACAACATTTGTTCCACAAAAGGCGATTCACCAAGGTAGAGTAGATACGAACAACATTGAAAAATACTGAAGGCTTAATCCCCCAGCCTTCAATGGGGGCTCTGATCCATTGGTAGTAGAAGACTGAATAAAAGAAACAAAAAAATTGTTTAAAATGATAACAATGACAACTGAACAGAAAGCACAACTGGCCACATTCATGTTAAGAGGATCAGCAGAGCATTGGTGGAAATTGAAAAAGGGAGATTTGATTTCCCCAATCACTTGGGAGGTGTTCCTAGAAGTTTTCAATGCAAACTAATTTCTAGATTTTCTCAGATAACAAAAAGAAACTAAATTCACAGAACTTAGGCAGGGGAGGTTGTTAGTAGCCGAATAGGCCGAGAAGTACATAGACTTGGGTCGGTTTACGCCCGAAGTTATGATGAATGAATTGAGGAAAGCTAGGAGGTTATACGGTGTATAGTGACGCATCTCATTTCGGACTAGGTTGTGTACTAATGCAGCAAGGGAGAGTTATAGCCTATGGGTCCTGACAATTAAAGAAACATGAAAAGAACTATTCGACACATGACTTAGAACTGACTGCAGTAATCTATGCCTAAAACTGTGGCGACATTACTTATATAGGAAGATTTTTGAAATTTATACAGATCACAAGAGTTTACAATATATGTTCACTCAGCGGGAGTTAAATATGCAACAGAGGAGATGGATAGACTTATTGAAAGACTTTGATTGTAGGATTTGGTATCATCCCGGATGAGAAAATATGATGGCAAATGCCCTCAGTCAGAAGGATAATGGGCTGTTGGCCCATTTGATGGTGTTTGAGTGGAATTCACGTAAAGCCATGCAACAGTTACAAATTCAAGAAGAAAACAGTGGAAAATATATAGCTAGTTTAAGGGTTCAACCTACCTTAGTCCATAAAATCAGTGAGGGATAGATGGTGGATACCGAGATACAGACAATCCAGAAGGGAGTAGAACAAGGGACAACGAAAGAATTTAGTGTACAGAGTGATGGGTTACTCAGATTTCGAACCAGAATGTGTGTTCCCAATGATAGTTCGATATGGGAAGAGGTACTTAGTGAGGCTCATAACACCAAATTTGCCATACATCCAGGGAGTATTAAGATGTACAAAGACTTGCAGAAAAGCTTCTGGTGGAGGGCTATGAAAAGAGATGTGGTTGAATATGTGTCGAGGTGTTTGACATGTCAACAAGTGAAAGTGGAACATCAAAGACCTGGGGGTTTATTGCAACCTTTGCTAATACCCCAATGGAAGTGGGAGCATGTCTCCATAGATTTTGTGATTGGGTTGCCAAGTAATTGCAATACGCATGATAGTATATGGGTGGTAATTGACCGTTTAACTAAATTTTCTCATTTTTTAGCAATGAGGGTGACAGATTTGGTGGATTAGTTGGCTAGGTTGTATATTAAAGAGGTGATAAGATTACACGACATTTCCGTATTGATTGTTTCAAATCGAAATTCCCGGTTCATCTTTAGATTTTAGAGAAGATTACAACAGGCATTGGGTACCGAGTTGAGCTTTAGTACAGCTTTTCATCCACAAACGGATGAGCAAACGGAGAGAATTATACAAGCAACGTGGAAACAGGAGGACGGGATAAAAAGTAACTATCCACAACTCTTTGAGATAATATAACAAAATTTGAGGGATCAAATTTCTTTTAAAGGGGGGAATAATATAATAACTGGATTTTTGGGTTGTCAAAAAAAGAATGATAATAATAATAATAATAATAATAATAATAATAATAATAATAATAATATATGTGTATAGAAGAGGGAATGAGAAGGAACGGTGCA